TTTTTTTCAGACGAAAACAGTGGATCTAGGGGATCCAACATCCGCGCTGATCGTAATCATGTGTCTCTCCAGTTCTCTGACTCAATTAGGAATTTATTGTTTCGGTGGAAATATTATAATTATTGAAAGTCACCTGACTAGCTTGGCAGCTTATGACTCCCGTTGGTACCTGGAAAACGCGGAATTCAAATCGACTCTCAAAATTTTTTTATCAATGGTCAAGCGCCCACTATCGGTCAAAGCTGTGGACGTCCTCGAGCTCTCATTCGTGACCCTCAAAAATGTACACTAATTCCTCATAATTATTAACATATAATTGCATAAAATATTTTTTTAATTGAAAAAATCTATGAAATTGATTCACAGGTGCTGGCGAAATCGTTCTCGGCGATGGCACTCCTGCAGAAAGTTGCGGAATAAAATTGTGGTAATGAAGTTATGGCCCCGGGGATTCCCCTGATTATCTGGGGGGGTCCACTGTACTTCAATTTGGCACTTAGGTTAGTACATGAATTTCCCTGTCTCTAACAATCATTCAATTTATTTCCTGATTCAATTTAGTTGTTATCCCGTCGGATCATATCGCAATACTAAAATGCGGTCTTCTACTCTGCGGTCTAGAGACTCCCGTCGTTGTTACTTTCTCATGTGCAATATTTAATTCATGAATGACGAGTGTTCTACGCAGAAAATGTCAGAGCCTTTGCGCGGGAAGCATCAATAAATGATCAGATGTATTGAATTATTGAAGAAAAAACGAGGGAATACCGAATGAAAAAACTTCTGATCCCAAATTCATTCTCTTTATGAACTACTAATGAGGTAATGATGTCTAGTTAATAATTAATGAATAACGCAGAGGCAGAGGGAGACACTCCAATCATTCTGGACTGGAGATCTCTAGTTCTTCGATCGACGTTATAAAAATAAATTCTAGCGATGACTCCCGTTATCTTTTCCCCCGATGTGCATTACATTGAATTCAGTATCAAATATCTTACACTCTGTGGTAATCAATTAACTCAGGAGAAAGAGTGATCTATAGTATGACAAGAGCTGTTTTTATTCTTCAGGTTTATGGAATCCCTATAAAGATTATCGGAAGTGGTTGTACGATATTTATACAATATTTATAGTTGTCTTCATGTACTTCACAAGGATCGACGCATATTTTTTGGCAGCCCAGGCATTTAAGCAGAACTTTCTGCAAGAGACTCTGATAATGTTCCTGGAATCAGCATTTGTCGTTGGTATTTTTAAAATTATAAATATTCTCTGGCATCGAGCGGATATCGAATTCATCGCAACGACTCTAACTTGGGAGAGAACTCTTCTCTGTTCAAAAAATGTCGGTAATTTCGGCGATTACATCAGAAACCAATGTCAAATTTTGTGAATCATAATATATTTATAGCTGTCTACAGGGATCAAGTGGTGGGAGAAACTCTGAGGATATCGAAGAAGATAACACTGATTTGGTTGGGCCTCGTTGTTGTCGACCTGGTGTTGTTCTACCGTGACAATCTCATCGGAAATCGAAGATCAATCGATGATCTACCCCTGGGGTACTATAATAATAATTATAGTATAGTATAGTTAGAGTAAATCGCGTCCATTTCCCTATTCTCAACACGACTGCATCTGTGAATTTACTGACTGTGAATTTACTTATGAATAATTATTATTTTTATACCGTTTTTATTTAACATTTGCAGCTTAACATTCCTGGGAAGATTCTTGCAAAAGCTCAATTTTTTTGTCATCTTGGCTATTGATTATTCAACATTGGTATTGAGTTGCGCAATCATCATGTCCAACGATTGCCTGTGCTTGACTCTCATGCTGCACATTGAGACACAATTAAAAATTCTCAACTTCCGTCTGAGAAGATGCACCACCCAAACCACTTCATACTTCAATCCCAATCAGGAGCTGATAATGTGTATTCAACACTACCAAAAAATATTCAGGTAATTATCTATTTTATCAATGCAAATAAAATAATCTACAGCAATTACAATTATTTCAGAATGGTGAGAATACTGCAGAGGGTTTATGGATCACTTCTCCTGCCGCAATTACTGTCAAGTATTATTCTGATATCTGTAGTTGGAATTCACATCTTTGTGGTGAATAATCAGGTGAGCAGGTGCAGTTATTTATTAATTTGATGCTGGAATGATTGCAGACGAAATCAGTGGATCCCACGGATCCTGTCTCAGCGGGGGTTGTCATCATGACACTCATCAGTGGTTTGACGCAATTGGGAATATATTGTTTGGGAGGTAATAATATTCTCGTGGAGAGTGATCGCACCAGTGTTATGGTGTACGACTCCTATTGGTACATGGCGGATACCGAGTTTAAGAAGAATATGATTATTTTTTTGTCAATGGTGGAGAATCCCCTGTCTATCAAAGCTGTTGGACTCTTTGAGCTTTCGTACGTGACATTCAAAAGTGTAAGTTATATAACTTATAATTAATCTTATAATTAAAAATTCCCATAATCTCTTCTCTTTTAAAAAAATCACCTACACAGAAATTGATTTTTATCTTTCGTAATTATTTCTGATGTATAAAAATTTTAATTACCATTTTTTTTTATAAAAACAATTTTGAAAAATATTTATTTATACATTATAATTATTAAAAACTCACGTTCAACTCCAGTTGGTGAATTATTTAATCGGTGCTCGGAGTTGGTAATTATTCTCTTCTCTTCAGGTATTGACGAAGTCTTATTCTGCAATGCTAGTGTTGCAGAGAGCTACTGAATAAAATAATTAGTTCCATCATTGTTGACGAAGTGAATTTTTATTGCTACTCGACGATTGTTGTACTGTAAAATATATGATAAACGTCATTCTCTGATGATTATATCAACTAAGGCATTACACAAATGGAATTTTCTCTCGTCTCTCTCTCCTGAATCTAATGTAATCTAGTCAGTAGAGCACATTAAATTTGTCAGACAGGATTACCTATCGGTGAATCATAAAGATGATAAATAATAGTGATCGTCTCGACTGATGCCACGATACTGAAGTGCCTTCTCCAGTCTTCATTTCCAAAAGCTGTTCGACACGAAATCAATGAATAATCTAGATACACTCTCCCAATCGCTCCCCCAGCATTTTCATGTCATCGATTAATACACAATGCCATAACAAGAGATATTTAATGATTCATCAAGCACTAGAGAATTAATACATGAATCCCACAATTTTTTTCATGACTCCTAATGGAGTGCTCATGAATAACTGATGCATCTCTTGAATGTGAGGTACAGCAAGATTTTCGTTATTAATCCGTAATAAGAAAATAGAGCCTAGATAATAAACGGTGGGGAGAGTATAGGTGAAGAATTTGATGTACATCATTCACGTCTGGAGAGTCATACTGACTCCATCAATGACTAGTATCAATGCCCCAACGAGGAGTTCTGGAAAACGTCAATGATTATATTCCACGGGATAATAATTGCATGGCATTCAATCTCAAGTGCCTCACACTCTTTGGTGAGATTAATATTTTTTTAAATAAATATTAAAAAATTAAAAATCCGACGAAATCATCTATTTTTTGTATTAATTAATAAATTCTGTTGCAGGCTTGTGGAATCCATATAAAGATTATCGAAAATGGCTGTACGATATTTACACAATATTTATTGTTTTTGTGATGATGTTGACGAGAATGCACGGATACGTTATATCAATCCAGAGAGTTCATCACAACTTCCACCAAGAGACTTTCATTTTGTCTCTGGTTCTAGGGTACATTGTTGGTTTTATAAAAAATATAAATACGTTATTTCGTCGTTCGGAAATTGAATTTATTGCTACTACCCTCGCCTGGAAGGGTTGTGTCCTTCGTACAGCTGCAATGGGTAATAAATTCAATACCAAAATAATAAAAAATAGTGAATAATGTGTTGACATAAGTTCGAAGGAATAAACTCGTGACGAAAACGATGGAGAGCACGAAAAAAATAACACTGATTTGGTTCTGGCTGGTGATTTTGGATTTTCCATTTTTCTACTGCATCTGCCTCAAAGGAAATCCCAAAACAACAGATTATTTACCGATAAGGTACAGTAAACCGTGGAAAAATAATAATAATTAATAAATGTGGAATTTTTATCCCGTCAATTGATTAAATCAAACGTATCACCACATCCTGAATGTGAATGCTTATGATCATAATTTTTTTATTTTCAGCTCTACATTTTTTCGATTTTTTCTAGAGCCCCTCAATTTTTTTATCGTCCTGGCAATCGACTATTTGACATTTGTAATCCCTTGTCTAACAGTTATATTAAATGATTGCCTATTTCTGGCAATTATGCTGCACATAAGAGCAGAATTAAAAATTCTGAACTTCAGCCTGAGAAGATGTGCAACAGATGACAAGAACAGTCCGAAAATATCTGAAAAATTGGCAGAAGAAAATTTGAAAACATCAACAAACAGAATTCATTGGAATAATCTAGGCTCCAGGCGAACCCACCACCTCATCATTTGCATACAACATTATCAAAAAATTTACAGGTAATTTATCATCCCAACAGATCAATACAGAATCCCTCAGCAATGATGGCTTACAGAATGGTACGCGTGTCAAGGAAGGTGTTCGGATTAGTTCTCTTACCGCAATTGCTATCGAGTATTGCAATAATAACATTTATCGGAATTCACATATTCGTGGTGATTAAAGTCTCACCTAATTTAAATCCCCTGAAACAATAAATAATCAGTACTAATTTCAGACTAAAACGGTGAGCCCAGGGGATTGGACTACTGCACTCCTGACAATTCTGAGTCTGTGCAGTACTTTAATGCAATTATTGATATATTGTCTCGGCGGTAACATGATAATTGAGGAGAGCGATCGAATCAGCTTGGCAGCTTATGATTCCTGTTGGTATCAGGAAGACACAAGATTCAAAACAACTCTGGCAATTTTTCAATCCATGGTTCGGCGTCCCCTGTCTATCAAAGTCGATGGCTTCTTTGAACTCTCATTAGTTACATTTCACAATGTAAATTATTCTGACAGGATCATTATCATGTAATTTTATTAATTAATTTAATTATTTTGTTTTAATTTGCGCAGGTGTTGATGAAATCTTACTCGGCGATGGCGCTGTTGCAGCAGATCTCCGAATAAAATTATAACCTCAAGCTCCAATTTTATTCGATGAGTCGTAGTAGTTCAGGTTTGAGAAGAAAATCCTGTAGTCTAGCCCAATCGATTATAGTGATTATTAATATATAATTATTGAGTATTCAATAGATAAATTCATCAATTTTTGTTCCACATATTTTTTATAACAAATTATGGAATTATTATTATTGTAATTATGGAAGGGAACAGGAATTCATGTTTTCGTTTAGGATTAGTATTTTTTTTTCGAGAAACTTCAACTGCAGTGCGAATAGGGAGTATATTTTAAATGTTGATATAATCAGAACGGAAAAAATATCAGAGAATCCTTTT